CATGATTGAGAGTAGCCGATACGTTTTATTGATGTCACAACAAAGCCCAGCAAGACTGCATGTCATCTGAGCATCTAGCCAGGAGATGAAGATTGCAGACATGTATTAGGACGCATTTATACTCCCACAACTCCAAGCAACTCAAAAGGTACGTATAATCTGTAGATACAGATGATCGTGAGTAGATTGGTACATGTAATTGCGTTGCCATCGTGCGCCTTACAACGTGCTTACGCAGACACCTAGTTGATTGCGCCTAGACGGTCACATGCTTCTTAGTATGCACACTATAGGCATCAGAGTGATTTTATTGAGGATCTCTAAATTCATGCTACTGTCAGGCATCTAGAGCTAGCGTTACATCATGAGCTGTAAGAGCACTGCATGCCTACCCAAGTAGAGAAGCACAATTGAGGTGGGTAGGTGGGCGGAGGCGAAAAGCAAGACCTCTCTGGATAAATATATACATTCATCTACGATGAGAAGCAATGAAACACGAAGAGCTCATCTCATTTACTATGTGCCATTTAGATAATGAACAGTATGTCCCGAACAATCGTGATGTACTAGATGGGACTGCTGGAGTGAAGCCCTAACCTAATTCGCAAAGTCCCGTGCTCACGCGTTCCCCAGTCGCGCTTCACCACTCCATTGCAACCCCTAGCCTTGATCAACACCTGGGCATTCTGAGGACATCCGCATGAACAAGGATTGAAAATAAGATGGAGCATCAACGTTGTTATGTGTACGAGCCATCAGAGTCAGATGAGCGACCTGCAAAGCGTCAACGCAAAAGCACATACGACCCGCACGCTCAATTGTCTGAACGACTCAAAGTCTACCACAATCTATGGACCCAACAAGAGCAGCGAATCCATGTATATCACTCTTCTCATAATGCGACTATTCACAAAGCTGACAGCGCCAGGACACATTAGAGGGAGCGGATAGCGCAACCCAGGAAAATATTGTCAACTTCATCACGAAATCGTCCGGCTCTTCAGATGACACAAAATCTGCTATTCCCACAGCTCTCGTAATCGCAGGCCCCAGCATCGCATCCCATGGTCCTTTTTTCGACCGCCTGGGTCGAAAGATTAAAGAGGATGCGAACAGCGCGTACGTCTTGCTAACTTCTAGCGAATGTCCAAATCTCAAAGCACTGCTTAAGACGCTTATCAAGAAAGCCACCTCACGCATTGAGGACGACGATGAAGATGAATCAGATCGGCCAGTGATGTCTTCTAGAAATGGACCCAAGTTGCTTAACTATGATCTTGGACACATCCAAGAATGGTTGAAGAAGAGCCAGGCATCGAGCCTTGTTGTTGCTATTCAGGACAGCGAAGCATTCGACGCTGCATTACTTGCTGATATGGTCGATCTTTTCCAGTATGTCCTGATCTCGGTCATTCACGAATTATGCTAACGCGTACAGCTCATGGCTTGACCGCATACCATTCGTTCTGTTATTCGGCATAGCTACTTCCGCAGAGAGCTTCGAAGAACGCATGTCAGGCAACTCATTACGCTATCTTGAGGGTGAGAAATTCGACGTCATCCAGTCGGATGATATCATCGAGAAGCTATTCCGCGCGACCGTGGCAAATACAGATACCCGGCTGTGCGTTGGGCCAACTCTGTGTCGTCGTATGTTGGACCGACAGAAAGATCACCTGCAAAATACACAGGACTTTTGCGATGGACTCAAGTACGCTTACATGTCGCACTTTTATGGAAGCTACCCCACAATCTTCTTGAATGAAGACTTACCCTTTGAAGACTTTTCTCCAGCGGCTTTTGAAGCTGCTCGCAACTTGCCCTCGTTTCGGAAGCATGTAGAGTCTGCGCTGGAGACTGGTCAAGTTCAGCATGTGCGCCAATTACTCGAAGCAGACGAATATCTGTTTGAACAAATTTCACGACACAAAGCAGTTGGGTTCCAAGCTCTTTCGGCGCTCAGTCATGCCACTCAAGTGCTTGCGAGTATACGCGAAGTCCTTCAGATATCGCCCAAGGCCCGGTTGTCAACTATCTGGACTCGCTCAGCAGCAGGAGAAATCAGCGGCTCACCCCTCTTACGAGAGACTATGTTGTTGACCAAGAAGGTCTCCTCAGACAAGTTGGTGGATCTCCTTGCGGTCTTGGAAGAGTTCGTTGGTGACTATTTTTCGATTGACCTAGGATCTTTCAAACAAGAGCTTGATGTTCTCTTGAAAAACAACGATACCAATGCGCCTCTTCGTACGCAGCATGATGTTCGTAACGACAGTCTCAGGACCACGGTCGTTGCACAAAAGGTGCTACTAAGTAAACACAAGGCTGCGCTCTCGGAGCAGGACAAAGCATACTCGGATCTGGTCGGTCGTTTCTACGATGCACTTGAACAATATTTCTCGGAGTCTTTTATTGATCCTCGAACATTGTTCCTAGCGGAGATTCTAATTTACGATCTAAAGTCACCACACACAGAGGTCTTCCAGGCCAAGCCACGCTTCGCCATCGAGCGGGCACTTGCCTCCCCCCACGACTATCTGGGTTGCGAATGCTGTACTGGAGTTAATGGGAACGTAGCTGCACTCTCTGCGACTCAGCCTGCGACCGCGATTGTGTATCAGATGTACCTCGAGTCTGGTACATTAATGAATGTGAGCGATCTGTGGTCTGCATTCAACGCAATAGCAGGTGATGGGGAAGAGGAGAACGAGCCCAGGACGATGTAAGTTTGAAGCGTCATCACAACCTTTCAATCAATGGCTAACCCCATTTCAGGGCTCTCTTCCAGCGAGCACTAGCTGAGCTGAGATACCTGGGTCTTGTCAAGCCCAGCCGAAAGAAGACCGACCACATCACAAAGACGATGTGGAAAGGCTTGTAGATCTTTGCGCTCCTATGATACATATCCATACCTTTGCGCCTCGACGCTTCAATGCCACAAACCTTATGCCGTCTTCTGCGGCGCGGTATCACAGAGCGTGCCACAATTCTTACATGTCCTCGCCTCCTTATCTTCCTTGAATGCATTCACTGCCTCTTTAATCTGTGTGCCCAAATCGATACAATGAAACGCAGCTTCATGCACCTTCTCCCCACAGCTCTGACAATACCACCTCAACCTATCCAGACTGCCCTCCGGCCGCTTCTGCTCCAGGACCACCCCCACCGTATCCTTGAATCGCACGGGATTATGCGGCGTATTCGGAGGCAGGAGGAACATGTCCCCCTCGTGAATATGGATATCGCGGAATTGCTGGTCAGCAGGTAGGGAATGGTCGACCACTTTCAAGAGCATGGAGCCTTTGTACTGATAGAACCACTCTGCTGTCTCGTTGATGTGATAGTCTGTTCGTTCATTAGGGCCGCCGACGATCATGACGGTGACCGAGTCGTTGTACACGCAATAATTGTTGATTGGGGGTTTGAGCATGTGGGAGTTTTCTGCGACCCTGTTTGCGAGGGACAAATCCAGGTCAGCGAATCATGTTTCTCGGGGGCTGTTCTTTGGGGGTGGATAAGGGCCGCGGCGGAATATGCAAAAGGGCAGATTTCACCATTTTGGTATGTTCAATGGTGGACCCAGGTGTCCACCTGCAGGCGGCTGGGTGAAGTGGCGTTGCGAGGTTGCGGCGGAGGTCTTCACCGGCGCGTGCGGTGAGTTTTGCCAGAACCCTTTGGCTGCTTGTAGCATTCGTCGCAAAGCCATTGCCGTGATATTTGTCGCGCTTCACTCGTTTGGTCGCCTTGTGTGAAATCTGGCAGACGGGCAGTCTTCAGTTGCGTGCTTTGGGAGCCCAGAGGCCTGGACTTCAGTAACTTTTAGGGCCTAGGCAATCCAGGGTCCTTCGCTCATATGTGGGGGGTGGGTGAGCTTAACTTGCTCATTCTTCCCCGCGATGGCCGCGCCAGCCCGTGCTTGCTACGCCATGGCGCGACGCGTGATGTCGGTACATAGGCATGTGGCCAGTGTGAAATGTGGTTTGCGTGTGACACCTTGTCTGGTCTCTTTCTTTATATATCTCTTTTTCCCCATTTGAAGTCTGCCGGTACCTGGATACATTACAGAATTCAGAAAAAAACTACATCATGTCTCACTCGGACATGGACCACGGCCACAGCGACCACAGTATGCCCGGTATGCCAGGCATGGGCGGTGATGAGCCCATGTGTAACATGAACGTACGAACTCTGCTCTATCCCTTCTCTCTGTCTTCCAGAGATACCGCATTCCATGCTAACAGGTCTTTGTATCCTACAGATGTTATTCACCTGGGACACGACCAACCTCTGCATCATCTTTCGCGGCTGGCGCATCGACGGCACCTTGTCCCTCATCCTCTCCCTCCTCGCCATCGTCCTGCTCACGGCTGGCTATGAAGCCGTGCGCGAAATGTCGCGACGATACGAGGCGTATACACAGGGAGTGGTTGAGGGAAGAAGGAGTGGGGATGTTCGAGGTGAGTTGATATCCCGTCTGATGTGCGTACGGTGTAAGGTGGAAATCTCGGGGGAGATGGAGAGAATTGGATGATCTTTTCCTACTACTGTCACCTTTGCCCTTGGACATTGGCTGAATGCAGCGCAAACACAAAAAGATATCACAGGTGAATCGAGCTCATTACTTGGCCCAGGGCGTAACGCTGGGAAAGCGGAGCAGCAACACAAGATTGTGAAGGCGGCGCTGTATGCCGTGCAAGTCTTTTATTCCTTCTTCGTCATGTAAGTTCTGAACACGGCATGTGGACGCAATAAGCGCAAAGACTGATCAATTTCTGCAGGTTGCTGTTCATGACATATAATGGATGGATTATGTTGGCTGTGGCTGCCGGCGCATTCGTTGGTTACTTGATGTTCAGCCAGTCTTCGAGCACGAAATCAGTTGCGTGCCATTGAACAGGTTGCATGTGCAGATGAAGTACTTGGAGTTCGGTCAACAGTTTGGGCAACACATTCTGTGGAGGAGGTGTTGAATGGAGAGGCTACTCTACATCACACCGGTCTTATTCCCGTGGATTGTGGACCGCAGCGGCGTTGTAACATTGTTGGTGACTTTCACCAAGGTTATCGATTGAAGATCGCGGAGTGGACGGAGGATAGACCTCGGTACACGTTGTCGTATTACCGGTACTGGCAGTCTCCGAGTTGATGATCGAGGGGGCATGGGACAGAAGTAGATCACCAAGCACATAGAAAACACAATTTTGTTTGGAAGACCACAATATGCGCAGACTGTAAGACGCTCAATGCCAGATTATGTACATGCTATACGTGATGCAACTGCCCGGTCTCGCGTTAACAGACACCGAGCTACACCATGATGCTGTCGGGGGCGATTGGACCGAAAGCTCTCTGGACGCGCCACGAATGCTGGCACAGCGCATCTCGACCCGACGATTACAGCTTTGTTTTGGAGATGTCGGTCTGCTTTCCATCTTGTAACTGAGATGTAGCACCGAGAAGTCGAGTTTTTATATCAATGCTCTCGTGGATTCGACAGTGGTGTACCCTGTGGGGTAATTCTGCCCGCTGCAAACACCGATCGGTCTTTGCGATAGGTGCGGGGACGATTGCCAAACCTGGGCATTTCATCAAAGTACTCTAGGAACGAAATGTAGAGTACAGCACCAATGGCCAAAAAAATAGTGGTCCATGTTTTGTGGCAACAAGAGCGAAAATGGATTGCGTCTATGATGTATAGACTGCGGATACCGGTAGTAGTTTACTAACAGTTGTTGGCTGCAGCCAGATCTTCACATGCCAGAGCCGCGTGACCCCAGGCTTTTCCCCCCCCAGCTTTTCGTCGGCACGCGTCCTGCCATCTCAGGAGTCCGTCGCGCATCCCCAGCCAAAGGGAGAGGCGCCGCCGGTGGAGCGTCAGGTGCATGCGAACCAAGGACGAGCTCCGTCTTCACATGCTGATGAAAAATGACACAGCAAAAGCGTCGTGGCTTGTCGACAGAGTTGCGACGAAACGAGTACAAACCGAAGGCGCGCAATTGGCCGGTGACATGGGTAGCGCATGGGGCTTAGCGTAGTTCTCCACTTCCGAGGCTCATGTTGCGACTCAAGACCAGGCCGAACGGGCGTGCTCCGCCAGATTGAATAAAGACTCCTCCATCCCGTTTCCCACGCATTTGCTTCTCTAGACCCCCATCTCTACTCTTTTCCCGCATCTCCTCTGTATACCCTCTATTTCATCATGCCGCAAAGGGTCATTGTCGTTGGTGCTGGCTGTAAGCATTCACCCTCGCCTCGGATCATACACACCGTGTTTGACGACGACGACGACGACGACGGCTAACAAGGTCGACAGTGTCCGGACTGAGCGCTGCTCACACCATCTATCTTGCTGGAGGCAATGTTGTGCTCCTTGACAAGAACAGTATGTGTTGATCTAAACTCCAAAATGGAGCCGATGCTGACTTGGCAAAGACTTCATGGGAGGCAACTCCACAAAGGCCACATCAGGAATCAACGGTGCCCTTACCAGGACACAAGTAGACCACAAGATTGGCGACAGCGTCAAGCAGTTCTACGATGACACACTCAAGTCTGCGCGCGACAAGGCGCGGCCAGATCTGATCAAGGTCCTCACCTACAAGTCGGCTGCGGCCGTCGAATGGCTGATGGACGTCTTCAACCTTGACCTCACTCTCGTCTCACGGTTGGGGTATGTTTTCCATTTCTGCTATCAAGAAGCCGGACAGAGACTGACATTTCGCATAGTGGCCACTCGCAGCCCCGAACCCACCGTGGTCACGATGCCAAGTTCCCTGGTATGGCCATCACCTATGCCTTGATGCAGCGATTCGAGGAGCTCGCCGAGGCAGAGCCAGAGCGCGTTCAGCTCGTCAAGAAGGCCAAGGTCACCAAGGTCAACACCGAGGGCAACCGCGCCACTGGTGTCACATACCTTTTCAACGGCGAGGAGACTACAGTAGAGGGCCCCGTCATTCTTGCGACCGGTGGCTACGCTGCCGACTTCACAGACGACTCGCTGCTCAAGAAGCACAGGCCAGACACGTTTGACCTGTCGACAACCAACGGCGCTCACGCCACTGGTGACGGACACAAGATGTTGATGAAGATTGGTGCCAATGGTATTGACATGGACAAGGTCCAAGTTCACCCCACTGGTCTTGTTGACCCCAAGGACCCAACCGCAAAGACCAAGTTCTTGGCTGCTGAAGGTGTGTACATCTATCAATCATTCCAGTCCTATCAACTGACTCGTTTCCAGCTCTTCGTGGAGAGGGTGGCATCTTGCTCAACAGCAAGGGCAAGCGATTCTGTGACGACCTCGGTCACCGCGACTATGTATCCGGCAAGATGTGGGAGGAGAAGGAAAAGGGCCTCTGGCCCATCCGTCTTGTGCTCAACTCCAAAGCCTCCAACGTTCTCGACTTTCACACAAGGCATTACTCTGGCCGTGGCCTGATGAAGAAGATGACGGGTGCGGAGCTCGCAAAGGAGATTGGCATCAGCGCAAAGGAGCTTCAGGAGGAGTTTCAGAGCTACAACGCCATTGCCAAGGGTGAGAAGAAGGATGTCTGGGGCAAGAAGTACTTCCACAACCTGCCCTTTGACGTCAACGACACGTTCCACGTTGCACACATGGAGCCTGTTCTCCACTTCACCATGGGTGGTATCGAGATCAACGACCAGGCACAGTGCTTGAACTCAAACGGCGAGCCATTCGAGGGTCTCTACGTTTGTGGTGAGCTTGCCGGTGGTGTGCACGGTGCCAACCGTCTCGGGGGTTCATCACTACTTGGCTGTGTCGTCTACGGCCGTGTTGCTGGAGACTCGGCCTCCAAGTACCTCTTCCAACAGGCACTCAACAACGCCGGCGGCGCAGCTGTCTCGCGTCTCGGACAGATCTCCCTCCACATCGACCCATCGCAACCTGGAAAGGTGGCGATTGAATGGGGCAACGGCATCAACGGCGGCTCCTCATCAGGCGCTGGATCAGACCCCGTGCAGCAACAGAAGCAACTGTCGTCAGCACCTGTGATGAAGGGTAACGCCGACTCGAGTGAGCCCGGCAAGGTAACCAAGCCTAACGAGGTCAAGAAGTTCACCATCCCCGACAAGGAGTTCTCGCTCGAGGAGGTGGCCAAGCACAACAAGAAGGATGATCTATGGATTGCTGTCAAGGGCATTGTCATGGACGTGACCAACTGGACAGACGAGCACCCCGGTGGGCCCCAGGCACTCTTCAGCCACATGGGCAAGGACGCATCGGAAGAGTTTGAGATGCTACACGACGACGAAGTGATCCCTAAATATGCGCCTGAAATTGTCATCGGACGCGTCAAGGGACAGGAGGTGACTCTTGAGTACTAGGAATGACGGATGACGGTGTTTGATGTACTTGTAGCCTTGTCTTGTGTGTGTGTGTGTGTTGTTCAATGATATTTCTTGCATCTTTGAACCTCATGTCTTACCTATTGCCGTGCATGTCTGGAAGTGAGTCGAAAGTGTAAGCCGAGTGGAATGTAGTTGTGATGATGATGATGATGATGATGATGATGATGATGATGATGGGTGTGTGTACTTGAACTCGTACTGTACTTCCAGCCAGCATTCCTTGTGGCGCTGCCATAAGCTGACGGGTAGCCCTGGTCTGGTTGGGCTGCAGACGGCCGCAAGCACGGCAGCTCAGCCGCAGCTGTGGACCCTGGCTCCACCTGTAATTCCCCGGAAACGCGAATGACCATGATGACATTTGGCATTCATCGCCCGTTACCAAACACTTAGGAGCTGATTTACTCCACGCCCACCACACCCACCGCCATCACTACACGTCACGCTTCCCTTGTTTCCCCTTTGCGTGTCAGCGACGATTAAGAGGGCAAGAGAAGAAGAGGAAGAGGAAGAGGAAGAAGAGGAAGAAGAGGAAGAAGAGGAAGAAGAGGAAGAAGAGGAAGAAGAACAAGAACAAGAACAAGAACAAGAAGAAGAAGGGAATAAAAGATGCTGTGCCAGTCCTCACTCACCTCCTTCGATCGACAATGACTACGACATACGACGAGTATGGCGTTCCCGTGGGCGCATACTCGGAACCAGAGAGCTTGACCACGCAGGCGTGGAGGCTCGCACGGGCGCTGTTCAGGTACCGAATTCGGCCGACTGCGCAGAGCAGGCTTGGTGGGTTCAAGAGGGGGCAGGGGAGCTTCAAAAGACTGGCCACGCTGGCCAATGCACTGGTCGTGCTCTGGTGGCTGGTCTTGTGTTGGGGCGAGAGGGGTGTCTTCAATCGCGCGATTGGGAATTGCCACTGGGATCGGTGGGAGAACTGGGTATGTACATGCCCTCGTACGGGGAGGAGGGGGAGGTGAATTGGGAAGCAGTACATGAAACTGATGTAGTCAACCTTCACAGGAAGAGGGCGCAAATCCCCATAGGCTCATCTTCATCGCCGACCCACAACTCATAGATCCGCATACCTACCCCGACCGCCCATGGTATCTGAACTCGCTCGCATACAAATACACCGATCTCTACCTTCGCCGCACCTTCTCTCGCTTCCAGACCATTCTTTACCCCGACACCATATTCTTCCTCGGCGACTTGTTCGACGGTGGGCGCGAATGGTCCACACGTACCACCACATCCCCAGAGAAGCAATACCGCAAGTACGGTGATGACTACTGGATCAACGAATACCGCCGCTTTGGCGACATCTTCTTCGAGCACTGGGGGGACGCCGGTATGGCCCCACGCCCTGGTCAGCCTGGACGAAAGATCATTAGCAGCCTGCCTGGAAACCACGACCTAGGCTTCGCACGCGGCGTGCAAGTCGCTGTTCGAGACCGCTTCAACGCCTACTTTGGCGAGGGCAACCGCATCGATATTATCGCAAACCACACCTTCCTGTCCGTCGACAGTGTATCCCTCTCCGCACTCGACCAGGATAAACCCGAGGAAGTCGAAGCCCTCTGGCGCCCCGCAAAATCCTTCCTCGAAACCGCAAAGGCACAGAAACACCGCCTGGTACAGCGTGAACTTCGTGCACAGCAGGGTCTACCTCCCTATCCAGGAATGCAACACAGCATGATCCCTCTGCAGGACTTTGCGCGCTCGGAAATCCCCCATGCGAATGCAGACCACGTATCCGACTTTCCGTCTATCCTCCTGACCCACGTGCCCTTGTATCGGCCTCCAGGTACGCCATGCGGTCCCCTCCGCGAACACTGGCCCCCTACGCCCCCACCACCAGGCCAACCGCCGTTCGAAGTCGACGACCGCAACGCAATCTCCGTGCGCGGAGGGTACCAGTATCAAAACGTGCTCTCGCGCGAACTTAGCTCATCCATTACCGAGAAGATTGGAGACATTAGCTATGCGTTTAGCGGCGACGACCACGATTACTGCGAGGTGCTGCACAGGGGATACGCCTCTGCGGGTGGCGGCATCCGGGAGATCACAGTCAAGAGCCTGAGCTGGGCCATGGGCATCAGAAAACCGGGCATCGTCATGCTCAGTCTATGGAACCCAGTGGATGAAAATGGCGTATCCAAGTCCAAGTCCAAGACGGTACAGATGAAATTATGTCTACTCCCCGATCAAATCGGCACCTTTATAACCTATGGTGTCTTCTTCGGCATCACCCTCAGTCTGCTGCTCCTCCGCGCCGCCCTCATCGCACGCGGCTTCCTCCCGTCCTCCGAGGCACACACGGGAGACTCGACCCCCCTCCTCCCCCTCACCACTGCACCGTCCACAAACGACGTCGCACGCGACAAGGAAAAGGGTAAGGAAAGGGAAAGAGATGAATTCTTTCAATACCGTCACTCGGATAACACTCCCCCACCTCACTCTTCAAACTCGTCCTCCTCGGATCGCGTTACTGCGGTCTTGCAGTCTCGCGCTCGCTCTACTACTACTACTACTACTACTTCTGCATCTGCATCTGCTCATACCCCTGCCTCTGCATCTTCCCACAGACTCCCCCATCCTCCAAACTCTCACACAGAACCACCAGCACACGCACAGAAACCTTACCCCCTCATCCACCACGCAGGCTTCTATCCTACCTCCGACCCCTCTTCTGCGTCCTCCAACCCACAACCCCGCACCATAATCTCCGCCGACAAGCATCGTCTGCGCAAGAGGCGGCGTATAGGTTCCAGGCTGTTTTGGTATGAACTTCGCACTAGTTTGGGGTGGGTTGTGGGGTGGGGTGGATTGGGGTATGGGTGGTTGGTTTGGAGGGGGTGAGGGGGGAGGGGAGGGGTGTGTGTAGGAGAGGATATGCATGGTTTGGTAAGATAGATGGAATGAATGGATAGATGGATGGATCAACGGGGCGTTTTTTTCTTCTTCTTTCTCTCTATTTGTTTTCCTACTGTAGTTTTGGGAGTGTGGGTTGCGTGTAAGATGACTTGGGAATATGGATGGGATATCGTTCACATGGAAAACGCGATGTAACATATGTGTCTATCGACCATCACCATCCACTTGTCACGTTTCCAAATCTTCGTATCATGAAGATCCCGAGAGTACACACACACACACACACACACTCTCTCTCTCTCTCTCTCTCATGAGTTCATGAATACTTCATCTCCCCATTCTTCCAAAAAACTTACACATGAAAACCACACACCCTCCACAGCTTGAGGAGAAGAGAAAAAAAAACGTCAACACACGCATCCATCCATCCACCATCACACCTAAAAACTCAACCCTCTACAACCCCAATTTCTCAATCCACTTCCTCGCCTCCTCAACCCCCTCATCCACCCTCTCCGGATTCGTACCCTGTCCAATCGCCGTGGCCGCACCAGCCTTGCCCCCCGCCTTACCGCCGATAATAGGCGTCACGGCGGCTGCCCATTTGGGGCCATCTGCACCTGCGGCTTTGAAGGGCTGGTTTGGGGAGAGTTAGCGTTTGCATTTGTATTTGGAGGGAGGGGGAGGGGCAAGGGGCAAGAAGAGAAAGAAAGAAAGCAAGTCAAAGACGGCAACTCACCTCACTGACATAACACGCATGCACCACCTTGCCCTCCTCGGGACTCGCACTGAACAAGTACACACTCTTGTCCTTGAGGCCACTCTTGGGCGCGCTGACCGTCTTGATGGTCTCGCTAATCGCCTTATTCACCTGCGGACTCCACGCCACCTTGTGCACCAAGACATTGCTGTCCTTGCCCTCCTCTTCAAAGAACTTGGTCACCTGGTCGAGCACGCGCTTGTTATCCGCCTTGGCAGCCGCCTTTTGCTCATCAAGAATCGACTTTTGAATCTTGTTGAACGAGTCGCGGAGCGAGGATTTGGAGAGGGCGGAGATGGTGAGGCCGTTGAGTTCGACTTGGAGCTTCTTGGCTTCGGCTTCCTTGGCGGGGCCAAAGGGCATCTTACCAAAACTCTCGAGACGGGTGGCGAAGTCGTTGGCTAGACGTTGGACGTTGTAGGCTTCTTGGCCGGTGACGGCGACGATGCGTCGGATGCCCTTTGCGATGCCGGATTCCTCGAGGATGACGAGTTCCTTGATCTCGCCCGTCTTGAGCACGTGGGTGCCGCCACAAAACTCAACGGAGAGTTTGCCCCAGGCTGGGTTCTTGGGGTCTGCGAGCAAATCTTCAACGGGCTGGCCAACAGAGACGACGCGCACAGGGTCAGGGTAAGTCTCGCCAAAGACGGCACGAACGCCTGTTATCTCCTTTGCTTTCGATAATGGTACGTCTTTTGCGTAGACCTTGGCGTCTGCTTTGATATAGGTGGTGGAGATAGACTCGACCTTTTCAATCTCAGCATCGGAGAGACCAGCCTTGTGAGAGAAGTCGAAGCGCAATTTTTCGGGTGCGACGAGCGAGCCCTTTTGATCAACTTCGTTGCCAAGGACTTCACGGAGGGCATAGTTGAGGACATGGGTACCCGTGTGGTTATTGCGGATGGGGTGTCTCCGAAGTTCGTCGAATTCTGCAATCACCTCGCTTCCCACCTTGAGCTCGCCATACTTGAGGTAGCCGGTGTGTAGTACGTATCCAGCGTATACTTGGACGTTTTCAATGCTGATTTCGGCCTCGCCGTCTACCAAGAGCCTTCCGGTATCGTACTCCTGGCCACCTTGCTCAGCATAGAAATTAGTCTTGTCAAGAAGCACACCAAATTGCTCTCCTTCAGGGACCTCTTTGGTACTCTTCAGAAACTGTTTATTGTGGTAGATGGCCTTGATGGTAGCTGTAATGTTCTCGCGGCCGTACTTGGGCGAATCGTCCGTCTTGGGCACATCGTCCATGGCATCCAGCGCACCGAGGTCGTGAACGTCAAACTTGACTACGGCAGCACCAGCTTTCTTATCTCCCTTGCTAGCCTCGCGAGCCTTCTCTTGGGCCTTCTCGACCTCTTTGTCATTGATGTTGAGACCACGCTCCTCAGCCATAAGCTTAGTGAGATCGACAGGAAATCCATATGTATCGTACAATCGCCAGACATCGTCTCCAGGGAGATCGTTTGAGCCCTTGGCTTTCGCCTTTTGCGCATACTTTTCAAAAATGACCTCACCACGATCCAGCGACTTGGCGAAGGCCTTCTCTTCCTCGTCAAGAATTTCGATAATGTCTTGTTGCTTCTTCCTGATCTCTGGGAACATGTCGCCCATTTGATCCACGAGCGTGGGGATGATCTTGGAGAAGAAGTCGCCAATTTCCACCTCGAAGTACTTGCGCGCATAGCGAGCGCCTCGGCGCAGAACGCGACGGACAACGTATCCTCGACCGACGTTGTTGGGAACACCACCGTCCGCAATAGCAAAGCTCATCATTCGGGTGTGATCTGCAACCACTCGGTAGGCAGTATCAATACCATCTGGGTCATCCGCGCCGAATCCGCCCCTGTATTCGCGCGCACCTGTGACCTCTTGTATCCTCTTGAACAATGGCGTGAAGACATCGGTGTCGTAATTCGACTTTGTGTGCTGTAGCACCGAGACCAAGCGTTCGTATCCCAGTCCGGTATCGATGTGTTTGTTTGGTAGCGGTCGCAACGACCTGTCTGGCTCGCGGTTGTACTGCATGAAGACGTTGTTCCAGATCTCAATCACCTCTGGATCATCCATGTTGACAAGGGAAGCCGCATTCCGGTAGTTTCCTCCCTCGGGCTCCCTCAAGTCGTAGTGAACCTCAGAGCAAGGACCACAGGGGCCCTGATCGCCCATTTCCCAGAAATTGTCCTTCATGTCTCCGGGCAGAATATGGTCCTCTGGCACCCCCACACTCTTCCACAACTCCTTGGCCTTGAGATCCGGCTCGAGATCCTCGTTGCCCTCAAAGTAGGTGACATACAAGCGCTTGGTGTCAATACCATAGACCTTTGTGAGGAGTTCCCAGGTGAAGCCAATAGCTTCCTTTTTGAAGTAGTCGCCAAAACTCCAATTACCCAACATCTCAAAAAAAGTGTGGTGGTAGCTGTCCTTGCCTACATCGTCGAGGTCGTTGTGCTTGCCGCCGGCGCGAATGCATTTTTGCGAGTTGGTTGCGCGCTTCAGTTGGGCGAAGTCGGACGAGGGGTCGATGGTGCCTTGAAAGATGGCCTTGTACTGGTTCATGCCCGCATTGGTGAAGAGGAGGGTGGGGTCGGAGAGGGGCACGACCGAAGAGGAAGGTACTGTGGAAATAGTCAATTCACATTTTCGTTCTTGTTGTCTCACATTTTCGTTCTTGTTGTCGTTATGTCGGGGGAAAGGTGAGGAGGGTGCGGTAAGCAAGGACAGGAGAGAGTAACGATGTCAGACGCACCAAAAGAATGGCCGCGCTCCTTGAAATAGTCAAGAAACGTCTGGCGCACGCGCACAGCACCCCATTCGTGCTTCTTGTCGGTGAGCGACATGTTGGCGGTGGGCTGGGCGGTGGTGCCCTGGCGGGGTATCAAGAGGGCTCTTGTGCGCGTGAATGGTCGCTGTGCGCCGGTGAGGGGCAGAGGATGATGATGATGATGATAATGATGATGACTGGAGAGGCAGGTGGCGAGGGTGGTGGTGGTGGGGAAAGCAACAGGCAGTCGGACTCGCAAGAGGAAGCGTGTATGTCTAGGATGAGGAGTCAGACGCTGTGCGAGGGCGGGTGGCAGCATTCACTCGACGAGCGATGAATAACTTTTTGACTCGACCGATTGTGTCTTTCTTTTTCTTTGCTAGTAGTGACAGTCGGAGTCCGATGCCATGCTATTACCATGCTAGGCCTAGCCTGGTGCCTCAGTGCTCCCGTCTCCAGTAGAGTAGCACGCTACAGGTGAGCTCCTGCGCCACAGTGCGGGGCTTGGCTTTGGCTGAACAACAGACCGAGTGGCTGGGCGGTTGAGTGGCTGGGCGGTTGAGTGGCTGGGCGGTTGAGTGGCTGGGGGGTGTGTGCCAAGACTAAACCCGGATCGGGTAAGGCGGCGGGCGGCGGGCGGCGGCCCTTTCGCGTCGCTGCTCGGAGGACCGATGAGAAGCGTATGAGCCTTCGAGAAGCTTCACCTGCATGGAACCCTCGCGTCGCCCATACCGGTACCTAGTACGATGCAGTACATTATATCACCCCCTTTGGACCCTGAAACCTTCACCCTAAAACACTCTCTACACTTCCTACGTAACCCTGACGACGCGTGTACGAGTTGACGCGCTTCTCTTCGGCCCCGTAAAAGGAAGCACTCACCTCTTCTTCTTCTTCTGGATTCTCGTCCATTAGAGCTGGCATGGGATGACTTCGCTCATAGCTCCCGGTAGCCAAGCCAATCTCCCACCACAACAACCCTCACCACCACGCCATGTGCCTCATGGCCGTAAGCGCGCTGCCGAAAGCTCGCTTGA